AATGTGCAGCCTCCCTTTCACCAGTTCACCCCACCATCTGCACTATAAAGTGATTGTATTCAATAAATACTGTGGAAAACCAAAGCTTGGGCCTTTGCAGCCTCCAGTTTTAAAGTTTATTGTTCCTGGCCCCCTGATCCCACTTTATGCATTCTTAACCTGTCTTTTTCTCATTCCTTTGTCACTACTGAACTCAGGATACCCTGTGGGTGGTGTGGGGGCTGGTGCCCTATACAGAAAAGTTTGGAAAATTTGTAGCCTGACTATGTGATAGAAAAGAAAAACCTATTTTCTGGGGGAAAATTTAAGCTGGCTACAGAAATTTGCATAAGTTGCAAGGAACCTAATGGACCATGGGGAAAATGTCTCTAGGCCATGTCAGAGACCTTCACAGCAGCCCCTCCCATCACAAGCCTGGAAGCCCAGGAGGAAAAAATGGTTTCATGGGCTGGACTCAGGTTCCCCTGCTGCATGCAGCAGGGAACTTGGTGCCTTGTGTCCCAGCTGCTCCAGCCGTGGCTAAAAGGGGCCAACATATACCTTGGGCTATGGCTTCAGAGGGTGGAAGCCCCAAGCCATGGCATATTCCACATGGTCTTGAGCCTGCTGGTGTACAGAAGTCAATAACTGAGGTTTGGGGCTGAGTGCAGTGGCTCACACCTGTAATCCCAGCACTTTCAGAGGCCAAGGTGGACAGATCACTTGAGGTCAAGAGTTCGAGACAAGCCTGGCCAATATGGTGAAACCCCATCTCTACTAAAAATGCAAAAAAAAATGCATGGTGGCACATGCTTATAATCCCAGGTACTCAGGAGGCTGAGGCAGGAGAATTGCTTGAACTCAGGAGGTAGAGATTACAGTGACTCGAGATTGTGCCATTGCACTTCAGCATGGGTAACAAGAGTGAAACTCCATCTCAAAAAAAGAAAAGAATTGAGGTTTGGGAACCTCTGCCTAGATTTCAGATGTATGGAAACGCCTGAATGTTCAGGCAAAAGTTTGCTACAGGGGTGCGGCCCTCATGGAGAACTTCTGCTAGGACAGTGTGGAAGGGAAATGTCGGGTCAGAGCCCCCTCCCCACAGTCCCTGTTGGGGCCCTGCCTAGTGCCTACTGGACACTGCTTAGAGCTGTGAGAAGAGGGCCACTGTCTTCCAGCCTCCAGAAAGGTAGATCCACCCACAGCTTGCACCGTGCATCTGGAAAAGCTTCAGACACTCAACACCAGCCTGTGAAAGCAGCTGGGAGGGAGACTGTACCCTATAAAGCCACAAGGATTAGACCATGGGAACCCACCTCTTGCATCAGCATGACCTGGATGTGGGACCCGGAATCAAAGGAGATCATTTTAGAGCTTTAAAATGTGGCTGCCCTGCTGGATTTCAGACTTGCATGAGCCCTGTAACCCTTTTGTTTTGGCCAATTTCTTCCATTCGGAATGGCTATATTTACCCAATACCTGTACCCCCATTGTATCTAGGAAGTAACTAGCTAGCTTTTGATTCCACAGGCTCATAGGTGGAAGGGACTTGCCTTGTCTCAGATGAGACTTTGGATTGTGGACTTTTGGGTTAATGCTGAAATGAGTTAAGACTTTGGAGGACTATTGGAAAGGCATGATTGGTTGTGAAATGTGAGGACGTGAGATGTGGAGGGGCCAGGAGTGGGATGATATAGTTTGGCTATGTCTCCACCCAAATCTTAACTCAAATTGTATCTCCCAGAATGTCCACGTGTTGTGAGAGGGACCCAGGGGGAGGTGATGGAGTCTCGGGGGCTGGTCTTTCTCATGCTATTCTTGTGATAGTGAATCTCATGAGATCTGGTGGGTTTATAAGGAATTTCCTCTTTCACATCTTCCTCATTTTCTTTTCTTTTCTTTTCTTTTTTTGAGATGGAGTCTTGCTCTTTTTCAAGGCTGAAGTGCAGTGGCATGATCTTGGCTCGCTGCAACCTACGCCTCCCAGGTTCAAGCGATTCCCCTGCCTCAGCCTCCTGAGTAGCTGGGACTACAGGTGTGCCACCATACCCAGCTAATTTTTTGTATTTTAGTAGAGACAGGGTTTTACCATGTTGGCCAGGACAGTCTCGATCTCCTACCCTTGTGATCCATCCACCTCAGTGTCCCAAAGTGCTTGGATTACAGGCGTGAGCCACCATGCCCAGTCTTTCTCGTTTTCTGTTGCTGCCGCCACATAAGAAGTGCCTTTTGCCTCCTGCCATGATTTTGAGGTCTCCCCAGCCATGTGGAACTGTAAGTCCAATTAAACCTCTTTTTCTTCCAAGTCTCAGGTATATCTTTATCAGCAGTGTGAAAACAGACTGATACAGTTCATATTACACAGGTTTACATATGCATGTATAAAAGGCAAATGTAAGCATGCTTTCTTAAGGATTGATCATAAGCTGTTTTCTTTCCGTGAATGAAAGAGTTTGATGTAGAAACACCTTTGTAAGCACATGTGAATATGTTATTAGACAATTTTGCTTTTTCTGTTAGACCCTATGATGCCTAGTAGAGAAATCCAGCAATAAAAGGCAGATGTAAGCCTGCTAATTTTTTCTAACATAAAATGTACTGATAATGATAAGCCCAGTGCTATCAATTTTATATATATATATATATTATATATATGTGTGTGTGTGTGTGTGTATATATATATATATATATATATATATTTTTTTTTTTTTTTTTTTTTTTTTTTTTTTTCCCTACTAAGTCTGACTTCCCAGGGTTGATTTTTGCAGCTTTCACTGTACCAGGTTGTGATTTTTTCCTTTTTTTTTCTTTTTGAGACAAAGTTTCACTTCATTCTTCTTGCCTAGTTTGGTGCAGTGGTACGATCTCAGCTCATTGCAACCTCCACCTCCCAAGTTTAAGCAATTTTCCTGCCTCAGCCTTCTGAGTAGCTGGGATCACAGGCATGCTCCACCATACCCAGCTAATTTTGTATTTTTAGTAGAAATGGGGTTTCTCTTGTTGGTTAGGCTAGTCTTGAACTCCTGACCTCAGGTGATCCGCTTGCCTCAGCCTCCCAAAGTGTGGGATTACAGGTGTGAGTCACCGTGCTTGGCCATTTTTTTTTTGTTGTTTGTTTGTTTGTTTTGAGACAGTCTCACCCTGTTGCCCAGGCAGGAGTGCAGTGGTGTGATCTCAGCTCACTGCAGCCACTGCTTCCCAGAGGTGGTTCTCATGCCACCACCGTGCCCGGCTATTACTTTTATTTATATTTTTTAAATTTATTTTTTGAGACGGAGTTTCACACTTGTCACCCAAGCTGGAGTGCAATGGTGCAAACTTGTCTCTGCTTCCCAGATTCAATCAATTCTCCTGCCTCAGCCTCCCAAGTAGCTGGGATTTCAGAGACCCACCACACCCAGCTAATTTTTGTATTTTAAGTACAGATGGGGTTTCACCATGTTAGACAGGCTGGTCTTAAACTCCTGACCTCAAGTGATCCACCTGCCTCAACCTTCCAAAGTACTGGGATTACAGGTGTAATGAGCCTGTAATGCCTGGCTTTTATTTATTTTTAGTATAGACAGGGTTTTTGCCCTGTTGCCCAGGGTGGTCTTGAACTCCTGAGCTCAGGCAATCCACCCGCCTCAGCCTCCCAAAGTGCTGGGATTACAAGCGTGAACCACCATGCCTGGCCTTTTTATTTGTTGTTTTGTTTTTTTAGCATAGACTTGATTTACTCTGGGTAGTTTTCACCTTTAAAAGTTTTTATTCTGTATTGCTTATTTCTACTGGTAATCATTAAGAAAGGGGTAAAACAGGCTGGGCATGGTGGCTCATGCCTATAATCCAGCACTTTGGGAAGCCGAGGTGGGTGGATCACGAGGTCAGGAGTTCAAGACCAGCCTGACCAAGATGATGAAACCCCATCTCTATTAAAAATACAAAAAAATTAGCCAGGCACAGTGGCAGGCACCTATAATCCCTGTTACTGAGGAAGCTGAGGCAGGAGAATTGCTTGAACTCCAGGGTGTGGAGGTTGCAGTGAACTGAGATCGTGCCACTGCACTTCAGCCTGGGGGACAAAGTGAGACTCCATCTCAGAAAAAAAAAAAAAAAAAAAAAGGAAAGAAAGGTGTAAAATATCAGTGGGTTGCTTTGCTTTCTTTCTTAGTCCAGAAAAACAATAAGAGAATGTATTGCTAAAGATAAATTCTGTTAGTATCTCTTTGCCCCACCAGATTTATTCTAAGTGGCCGAGTGCAGTGACTCACACCTGCAGATCTAGCACTTTGAGGGTTGAGGTAGGAGGGTCTCTTAAATCCAGGAGTTGGAGACTAGCCTGGGCAACATATCAAGACCTCGTCTCGGCCGGGCGCGGTGGCTCAAGCCTGTAATCCCAGCACTTTGGGAGGCCGAGGCGGGTGGATCACGAGTTCGAAAGATCGAGGCCATCCTGGTCAACATGGTGAAACCCCGTCTCTACTAAAAATACAAAAAACTAGCTGGGCATGGTGGCACATGCCTGTAATTCCAGCTACTCAGGAGGCTGAGGCAGGAGAATTGCCTGAACCCAGGAGGCGGAGGTTGTGGTGAGCTGAGATCGCGCCATTGCACTCCAGCCTGGGTAACAAGAGGGAAACTCCGTCTCAAAAAAAAGACCTCGTCTCTACTAAAAATAGCAAAAATTAGCTGGGAATGTGTCAGTAGTCCAAGCCACTTGGGAAGCTGAAGTGGGAGAATCACTTGAGCCCAGGAGGTCCAGGCTGCAGTGAGCCATCATCTCGTCACTGCCCTCCAGCCTGGGTGACAGAGCAAGACCCTGTCAAAAAAAAAAAAAAAAGATTTGTTCAAAGCCCTAGCAGGCAAGATGGTGCACTGAAACTGTCTTGTTGAACCTGGGGAGGAGACTGTCTAGGGAAGGGCAGAAGCCCAGCAAGGCACCAGAATCCTCCACCCCAGGGATGTCTGTCTTCAGCCCAGCAGGGACCTTGGAAGCTCCATACCTCTCACCCTGTCACCCCAATCTCTGGGTCTTACAGATGCGACCTAAAGTCATGTGGCACCTCCTTCGAAGGTACATGGGATCCCGACTCCATTCCCTGCGGATGGGCGGCTACCTGTTCTCCGGCTCCCAGGCCCCCCAATTGTCCCCTGCCCTGTTGAGAGCCCTGGGCCAGAAGTGCCCCAACCTGCAGCGGCTCTGCCTGCACGTGGCCGACTTGAGCATGGTGCCTATCACCAGCCTGCCTAGCACCCTGAGGACCCTGGAGCTGCACAGCTGTGAGATCTCCATGGCCTGGCTCCTCAAGCAGCAGGACCCCACCGTGCTGCCCCTGCTCGAATGCATCGTGCTGGACCGCGTCCCTGCCTTCCGTGACGAGCACCTGCAGGGCCTGACGCGCTTCCGGGCCTTGCGTTCACTGGTGCTGGGTGGTACCTACCGTGTAACCGAGACAGGGCTGGATGCCAGCCTGCAGGAGCTCAGCTACCTGCAGAGGCTCGAGGTGGTGGGCTGCACCCTGTCTGCTGACAGCACCCTACTGGCCATCAGCCGCCACCTCCGAGATGTGCGGAAGATCCGGCTGACCGTGAGGGGCCTCTCTGCCCCGGGTCTGGCTGTCCTGGAGGGGATGCCGGCCCTGGAGAGTCTGTGCCTGCAGGGTCCTCTTGTCACCCCAGAAATGCCCACCCCCACTGAAATCCTCTCCTCTTGCCTCACCATGCCTAAGCTCAGAGTGCTTGAGCTGCAGGGGCTGGGGTGGGAGGGTCAGGAAGCTGAGAAGATCCTGTGTAAGGGGCTGCCCCACTGTATGGTCATCGTCAGGGCTTGCCCCAAAGAGTCCATGGACTGGTGGATGTAACTGCTCCACCGTCTCTAGGACCCATGCCAGCTTTCATTGTTGAGCCCCAGCCCCTTTGAGCAGCACTTTGAAGAGGGCAGATAATCAGACTTGAGGAAACTGAAAGCCCCAGGTTTAGAGGACAGAGGCCCAGAGACTTCCAGACCATTGGAATCACTGTTTGCCAGCTGTGTGGCCTGGGTCATATCATCAGCCTCTCGGAAGCCTACACATCCTGAAATAAGGACAATCACAGCTACCTCATAATTACATTGTAAAGCCTTACTCTAAAAGCTCTCAGCCTCCAGAGGCTCTCAATGAAGAGTCACCTTCAGGATCGTCCTCAGGAACAGGATGGATGAGGAAGGGGTGAGGTTAAGATTTACAGGCACCCGCCATACGTGGTGGCTCACACCTGTAATCCTAGCACTTTGGGAGGCCGAGGTGCCTGGATCACCTGAGGTCAGGAGTTTAAGACCAGCCTGGCCATCATGGTGAAACCTCATCTTTTTAAAAAGAAGAAAGATTTACGGGCACCCAATGGGCCCCCTTAAGAGTACCCAAGAAGGACTGTCTATGCATGCATACCCACACGCCTATATACCATTTATATACCTACACGCACGAAGACTCGCTGAGAGGACAACGGAGACTCACAATTCGATGATTGAAATGCTTATAAAAGTTCTCAATTCTATTTTCTGTATTTTGTATGCTGTATTTTCCAAGACATATATTATTTTGCTATTAAATAAAAAATTTTCCCAAGAAGTATTCAGTTTATTTATTCAACCAGTGTTTCTCGAGCTCTGCCTATTTTGCAGGCACTGTTCTAGGTTCTGGGAAACTGGGACCACAGCAGTGAACAAACTGACAAGACCCTGCCCTCATAGATCTCATAGAGAAGACAGGACAACAAACAGGTAAACTGATCCATGTTTTAAATTTTGGGGGGGATGGAGTCTCACTGTCACCTAAGCTGGAGTGCAATGCTGCGATCTTGGCTCACTGCAACTTCTGCCTCCTGGGTTCTAGTAATTCTTCTGCCTCAGCCTCCCAAGTAGCTGGGATTACGGGTGCCTGCCACTACACCTGGCTAATTTTTTGTATTTTTAGTAGAGATGGGGTTTCGCCATATTGCCCAGGTTAGTCTCAAACTTCTGACCGCAGGTGATCCGCCTGCCTCAGCCTCACAAAGTGCTGGAATTACAGGCATGAGCCACCATGCCCAGCCACCACGTTGTAATTTTGGAAACTCTGGGACAATACACCAGGGTCATATGATGGAGGCACACTCGTATGGATGAGTGAGCAGGGCAGGCCTCTGTGCTGAGATCTGAAAGGTGAAAAAAAAGCAAACGTCAGAAGAACTTGGGGAGAAGAGGAAAGGCCGACGCTGCTAAGGTAAGAATGAACTTGGCATTTTCCAGAAACAGAAAGGAGGTGTGGCAGAGGAGCAGAGGGAAGAGCCATCGAAAGTGAGGTTGAGGCCAGGCATGGCGGCTCACATCTGTAATCCCAGCACTTCAGGAAGCCAAGGAGGTTGGATAACTTGAGCCCAGGAGTTCAAGACCAGCCTGGGGCGTCAGAGGCAGGTGAATCACTTTGCGTTCAGGAGTTTGAGACCAGCTTGGGCAACATGGTGAAGACCCATCTCTACAAAAAAAAATTAGCCAGGACTGGTGGTGTGTACCTACCCAGCTACTCCCTGCTATCCCAGCTATTCCGGAGGCTGAGGTTGAGGGATCGCTTGAGCTTGGGACTCAGAGGTTTCAGTGAGCTGTGATCACTGCACTCCCGCCTGGGCGACAGTGAGAACCTGTCTCAAAAAAAAAATAAAATAGGCCGGGCGCGGTGGCTCAAGCCTGTAATCCCAGCACTTTGGGAGGCCGAGGCGGGTGGATCACGAGGTCAAGAGATCGAGACCATCCTGGTCAACATGGTGAAACCCCGTCTCTACTAAAAATACAAAAAATTAGCTGGGCATGGTGGTGCGTGCCTGTAATCCCAGCTACTCAGGAGGCTGAGGCAGGAGAATTGCCTGAACCCAGGAGGCAGAGGTTGCGGTGAGCCGAGATCGTGCCATTGCACTCCAGCCTGGGTAACAAGAGCGAAACTCCGTCTCAAAAAATAAAATAAAATAAAATAAACAAAAGGAGATATTGGGGACAAGAGTGGGCAGGGCCTTGCAGATGGCTCAGGTTTTAGGGGTTCAGTAAGTAACAACTCCTTTTCCTGCCTTTTGAGCCTGAGCCACTTGAAAGATGCAGGTGTCAGACCGTAATCGGGAGCGCCCACCCATGAGATGAACGTTATGTGTGGCTAACCCCAGCTCTGTGGGCTCACCACCTGCTCAGCAGGCCAGGGTGCCTCCTTTGGTGAGGCAGGTTGGAGAAGAGGGCTGAGCTGAGTGCACTTAGTTTCTTATTCTAAGCTCACTCATCAGAGAAGAAGAGCTGGAGATGTTTCTCCCATGCTCTTCCCACTCAGAGTTGCGGGTTGCAGTAGAAATTCCTTCTCTCACGCTCTCTCTCTGTCTCTCTCTCTCTCATTCTTTTTTTTTTTTTTTTTAAATAGAGACAGCGTCCGGGCACAGTGTCTCATGCTTGTAATCCCAGCACTTTGGGACACTGAGGCAGGAGGATCACCTGAGGTCAGGAGTTAGAGAGCAGCCTGGCCAACATGGTGAAACCCCTTCTCTACTAAAAATATAAAAATTAGCCAGACCTGATGGCATATGCCTGTAATCTCAGCTACTCGGGAGGCTGAAGTGGGAGAATTGCTTGAACCCTGGAGGGGGAGGTTGCAGAAAGCTGAGATCACATCACTGCATTCCAGCCTGGGCAACAGAGTGAGACTGTTTCAAAAATAAATAAATATATACATAAATAGAGACAGGTGTCTCCTTATGTTGCCCAGGCTGGTCTCAAACTCCTGGGCTCAAGCCATCCTACTTCAGCCTGCCAAGTATCTGGGACCACAGGAGTGTGTCACCACACCTGACCAATTTTTAATTTTTTTAGTGATGGGGGTCTCACTGTTTTGCCCAGGCTGGTCTGTAACTCCTGAGTGCAAATTATTCTCCTGCCTTGGCCTCCCAAAGTCCTGGGATTACAGGCATGAGCCACCTCACCTGAAATTCCTTCTCCATCTGTCCACATGAGGACTTGGGTATGAGTGTGCCCCTAATGTGGCCCTAGTCAGGGACTGATTGTCCAGTGCTGTGACCAACCCCAGTAGCTCCAGCACAGGACAGCTGGGGGCTGGGTTGAATCAGGTAGAAACAGAGATTGGAGAAGTCTCAAAGTGTCTGGAGAGCTGGGGTCAGTTTGGGAGAATATGATGGGTGACTCAACACCAGCACTGTGCTGGATTCTGCAGGTGGTTCTGGAAGTGCACTGCTGATGCCCCAATCTGGAACAACTCCAGGGGAAAAACGTTGCTTTCTCCTCCCTTTCTTGCTCCTCCCTGCCTTTTCAGTAGGAAGGGAGCACCAGACACTAATTTTAGTGTTTTTGTTAGTTTTTTGGAGATGGAGTCTCACTCTGTCACCCAGGTTGGAGTGCAGTGGTGCGATCTCAGCTCACTGCAACCCCTGCCTCCCAGGTTTAAGCCTCAGCCCGCCTCAGCCTCCTGAGTGGCTGGGATTTCAGGCACATGCCACCACACCCGGCTAATTTTTGTGTTTTTAGGAGACAGCGTTTCACATGTTGGCCAGGCTGGTCTCAAACTTGTGGCCTCAAGTGATCCGCCTGCCTTGGCCTCACAAAGTGCTGGGATTACAGATGTGTGCCACCGAGACTGGCCAGCAGACATTAATTTGAAGCAGATAATTGTTTATGGGCAGTGCTAGCAGGTGGAGGAGAAAGGCCCTGATTTGTAGCATTTGCCTACTACTATGGTGTAAACAGTCTCATCACAGCTGGTTTCAACCTACCAACAGTTTAGCAACTGGCCCACAAAATAATTGAAGATTCAGCATTTGGCTCTCCTGAGCTGCGGAACAGTGCCAGTTACCAGTGTCTTCCTCCTGGGCTCAGCCTATGGAGAACTCATTCTGCCTTAAGGATTTCTAACATGGGCCTTGCCCCAAGGGGTGATGGGGTGATAGAACATCAGACAGAGCTGCTCTCCTTTTGAGACCTCCGTGCCCCTGATTATTGCCTTCTCCCAGAAAAGGGGCTGGGGGCTTCAGGGCTGCCCTCTAATGAAGGCAAACCATAATCACAATAGCTGACATTTACTGTTTATCTTTTTTTTTTAATATTTATTTTATTTATTTATTTTGAGACATGGTCTTACTTCATCGCCCAGACTGGAGTGCAGTGGCGTGACTAGAGCTCACTGCAGCCTCGAACTCCTGGGCTCAAGCAATCCTCCCACCACAGCCTCCCCAGTAGCTGGGAATACAGGTGTGCATCACCACACCTGGCTAATTTTTAAAAAGAATTATTAAAAAAGAAAACAAGAGGCTGGGCGCGGTGGCTCAAGCCTGTAATCCCAGCACTTTGGGAGGCTGAGGCGGGTAAATCACGAGGTCAGGAGATCGAGACCATCCTGGTCAACATGGTGAAACCCCATCTCTACTAAAAATACAAAAAATTAGCTGGGCATGGTGGCACGTGCCTGTAATCCCAGCTACTCAGGAGGCTGAGGCAGGAGAATTGCCTGAACCCAGGAGGCGGAGGTTGTGGTGAGCCGAGATCGTGCCATTGCACTCCAGCCTGGGTAACAAGAGCGAAACTCCGTCTCAAAAAAAAAAAAAAGAAAAAGAAAACAAGAATTATTATTATTATTATTTTGTAGAGATGTGGTCTCACCATGTTGCCCATATTGGTCTCAAACTCCTTGGTTCAAGTGGTCTTCCTGCTTTGGCCTCCTAAAGTGTAAGATTACAGGTGTGAGCCACAACACCCACCCTACTGAGTGCTTCTTATGTGTCAGGCACTGTGCTCAGTTTTTCATGCATTGATTCCTATCAGCAGCCCACCCAGGGAGGTAGAGATGAGGTAACTGAGGAACAGAGAAGTTAAATTGCCCAAAGCAACATAGTAAAGTAGAACCTAAGTAATTTTTTTTTTTTTTTTTTTTTGAGACAGAGTTTCGCTCTGTTGCCCAGGGTGGAATGCAATGACACAGTCTCAGCTCACTGCAACCTCCACCTCCCAGGTTCAAGCAATTTTCCTTCCTTAGCCTCCTGAATAGCTGGGATTACAGGCATCTGCCACCACACCTGGCTAATTTTTGTATTTTTAGTAGAGATGGGGTTTCACCATGTTGGCCAGGCTCGTCTCAAACTCCTGACTTCGTGACCTGCCACTTCAGCCTCCCAAAGTGCTGGGATTACGGGCATGAGCCAGCATGCCTGGCCTCTTTTTTTTTTTTTTTTTTTTTTTTGAGACAGAGTCTTGTTCTCTCCCTCAGGCTGGC